GCTATTTATTTCCGAATAAAAAGATTGGAAAAATCATCAACTAGTAAATTAATTATAGTGCAAATTTGTCTAGTTACTCAATAAAAGCGGGGAATTGAGACAATGGTAATGTGCTTGCTATACTCTCGATCCAGATGTCGTGAGTTCGAAACTGCCTTTATCAGATATCTCGTCAGAATTATTCAAGTTGCTGTGATCAGTAATGATCACCATAGCAACCATAGCTGTCGATTCAGTTACTACAAGGTAAAAAAATTTAAAAATAACATCTGAATCCATCACATCAGCATTATCGATATGACTCAGGGAACCTACAATCTGATGGATATGAACATAAAAAACAAGAACTTTGATCGAAAAATTCGAATTTATTGATTCTGAATAGAACTGAATGAAGCTGCTTAGTAAATTTAAACATACTATTATTTCAGTTCATCGTACTTGCTGCCTTCGTAGCCGTTGCTCAGGCTAGTGTAGAACATATTGCTCCAGCTCTAGCTCTTGGCTCCCACAATTCTGTTTCAAGTTACTCCAGCATCCAGCAACACGCCCCAGCCATCCACGCTTACGCTGCTCCAGCTGTCCATGCATATGCTGCTCCAGCTGTCCACGCATACGCTGCCCCAGCTCTTCACTCATACGCTGCTCCAGCTGTCCACGCCTACGCTGCTCCAATTGCCAAGGCCGTCATTGCCGAACCATCTGCTCCAGCCAACTACGATTTCGGATACGGAGTAAATGATCCCCACACCGGAGACAGCAAAAGCCAACACGAATCCCGTCGTGGTGATGTTGTCCACGGCAGCTACTCCCTCATCGAATCTGATGGCACCAAGCGTACTGTAGACTNTGAACTCCGGCAATTTTACCTTTGTTTGAATTGTCTTTTGTGTCACGATAAAAAGTTTTACAGACTCACGCGTCTCAGTCCTCCCTTTTCGAAGGGCTTGACCTCATCCTGACTTTTTATGTGAATTTTTGATATTTCAGTTCTCGATTGACTAAATCAAAGGTGTTATTTCTTTCAGAAATATGCTCATATACGTCGATTAGTATTTTAAATTGCCTTTATTTCAAAGTGGAAAAAAATTATACAGTGTGACTCTAATATGAGATATGACGTCATCGATAATTGTTTTGATTGACAACCCTGTTTTTTAAGTGACTTCAATGAAAGGGTTCAACAAGTTGCACATGCCTGCCAAATTTCAATTTTTTACTCCTTGTCCTTTAAAATATATTCAACAAACATTATCTAATTCAAAAAATGAATTCAATTCAATAATCTTCCTTCAATGAAGGCTTAGAATGTCAGGGATACCTGACAGTGACATTGTCATAAAAAAGTTATCAAAAAAAAGTAAGGAGAGTAGTATTGCATTTCAATCATATCATATTTGTGCACAAAAACTGTAAGTCGTTTCATAGTTTTTTGTTCGCCATTAGTAAAATGCCATACTTAACTGAAACACATAAGATTGGAATTCTAATGATGATTGCTACGGAGATAGGACAAGAACACAAAATGAAATTACCCATTTATTCAGAGAGAAGTATCCTAATTTACCACACATATCGCGGCGCAGTACCGTAAGCAAGATCGAAAAACAGTTCCGGGAAAATGGGCTTTCAAGAAAAACAAATAATCATCTTCGGAGTGCGTTCAGTGAAGAGGTCAAAATAAATGTTCTTCTCTCTGTCGAAAAAAATTCCCATGTCCCCACTAGGCAGATAGCTAGGGAACTAGGGATAGCTAGGGACCTAGTTCCGAATTTGGCTATTTTGTTCCTTTGTCCGATAGAAGTTGACGTCCCGAATAGAAACATGCGGTTTCAACAGGACGGCGTGCCTCCTCATTTTGCAAGACCTATCCGTGAGTACCTGAATGATGTATTTCCAGGCAGATGGATTGGCAGAAGAGGACCCTATAAATGGCCACCTAAATCTCCGGATTTAACACCTTTGGACTTTTTTATGGGGTTACTTGAAGAGCAAAGTTTTCAAGATCAAACCTGCAAATATTGAGGATTTAAAAGAACGGATAAGACAGGAGTGTAGGCTAATTTCCGGCGAAGTAATCAGAAATGTTCAAAACGAATTTCAGTTACGTTTAGGGTATTGTCAGTTAGTAAATGGATAACATTTTGAACACTTGTTTGAGAAAGACTATTGAATTGAATCCATTTTTTGAATTAGATAATGTTTGTTAAATATCTCTTAAAGGACAAGGAGTAAATAATTGAAATTTGGCAGGCATGTGCAACTTGTTGAACCCTTCAAT